TACCTACGTGTTACTTACTATTAGTTTTTTTTGTTTTCATATAACGCTGCATACCATCGATAACAGGAGTTTCGAGAAGATTCTTCAGAATAATGACTAAAATATTATATCTGTTCTGTATGTGTTATTTTTCGTGTATATATATATATATATATATATAAAGAGAGCGAGAGAGATAAGGCACTCTTAATAATAAGAAATAGGGACTTTTTTCAACAAATATTATGAAGAATTGCATTTAGCCACATGTATTTAAAAGTTTAACATACACATTTTAAGTTTGATCATAGCCATTTGAGATTTATCAATACTAATGTAACATTTAACAGCCGAAATAGTAGGTAATCACCATATTTTATTAGCATTTTATCTTATAACCATTGAATGTATGATACTGTAAAAATATTACATACTCATAACGTTTAACATTTAATAAACGTTATATGATTTGCAGTTATAACTTTTAAGGACGGCAAAGTATTTGCCTATGATTATATAACATTTATTTCAACAAAATCATATATGCACCTACTGATTTAGAACAATAGTAAAGCTGAAGCTATAAAAAATAATGATTGTGATGATACCCGTAAGAAAGCATTTTAAAAACATGGATAAGAGGACATTAAGAACGAGCCTATTTAGAAAGGTAGGTAATGGACACTTTAAAGCCACGGATAAAAACGCCTTATGGATATAAATATGAACTTCTCAATATTATGGGTAGGAGACACTTTAATAATGTTATTTTCACTTTACGAAAGCGGATAGTGAAATTTTAAGAATATAGATATCGGCAAGTTAAGAAAAATAATAAAAATATGATAGGACATTTGAAGAACACGGAAAAGCACACGGATTACGAATGCTGGTATTTTAAGAAATCGAATGGCGCTTTAAAAATTGATTAGGGCATTTTAAGAAGTAAGTAAATTTAACAATAACTTTCTGAAAAAAAAGAATGATGGCGCTTCAGGGTACAGTTAAGAAGGGCGCAGACACTTTTAGAACAAAAGATAATACAATGAAGGACATATTTTGTCTCTTACATAATCTTACTTTATGAAGTTTGATGTGTCAGCAGTCTTTCAAGTGTAACTGAGGTTATTTTACAGATACATTAGGAGCAAAACGTTTCAGTGATTTCCTGTATGAGCTCATCAAATGGTATCTCATATTTGATCAGATGGAGTGTATTATGCTTATGAACGCAGAATAATAAGACATTCGAACTTTGATTCATGGTCGACCTTGATTACCTCTACGTTTTTTATAAAAGTCGTGATCACCATATCTGTGTGTGTCTGTACTTAGGTTTCGCAGTATTGTATGTTGTCGTACTTTTATATGTATGTGTGTCGAAGTTTCTCACACCTCCAAATTCTGTTGGAGGTGAGTATCCGGGAGTAGGACTGGCGTACTAGTTCGGACACAGGGTGAGCATGTTTCGGTGTGACGGGGATTCGAACCGCGACTCGCAGATTGCGAGTCGAGTGCCCTAACCACCGAACTTAAATCTAGTCATGCTTTAAGTATCGACGCAACTTTCAAATGTGTATTAGTTTTTGTTTCGTTATTTGTTATTAAGCACAAAACCACACAATATGCTACTTGAGAACGAAACCCGGTTTTATAACATTATAAGCCCTCAGATTTACCACTGAGCTACCAGGGGCGTGTGTATTGTACTCATAATAGGATTTGGATCAAAGTGAATAGTGATTTGCCAAACCGGTTCCATTCTCTTGTCAAGCTTGTTATCACTGGCACAAAGATAAAAATTTCAATCTGTCCTATTAATATTTAAACATTCCTGGTTCTCTATTGTCGTTACTTAAATGCTGAATTACAATAACAACATATCGGATTGTTTTATGAAATTCATTGAAATTATGTATTTTTCCGAATTCTAACTTCTACGTGGTAGTTGGAATCATTTGAACGAGTTCTTGTCTAGAAGTATTCCGGTATAAAAAAAAGAAAGCTCGGAATGACAATAACGTCACTGTTTTCTTGACTTTAGTAATTATTATTTAGTCCGTTGCGTATCATAATAGATAAAATGAGTAAAACCTGTAACGTCAGTACGTGGTTGAAGTTTTTAATAGCTGTTGTTCTAAAATGAATGATAATCTAACTTTTTAGTTAGGGGGAAAATTAGCTTAAAGCTAATTAAGAACCAGGCGAGCGTTTTGATTGTATAATTTTGTTTTGAAATGAAAGTAACCTCTAAGCACAGAATGGGTCGTTTAGTATGTATAACATTTTTTGACCTTGGGGTGGAAGCTTACAATTTACTTGTTACGATATTACTCACCTAAATAAAGCTCTCGTTATATGCAGGATTAGTGTATAGAATAAGCCTTTAATTCAAAAATAACATATGATTTTGTCTGTTCTGAGTATCGAGAAAGGGGGAGACTGGGTCGTTCTGTAATTTTTACTCCAAGGGACAGACAATATAATTGTTTTTAGGGCAAAGTTACTAGGGCTATATCTGCTGCCGTCCCTAATTTTGAACTTCTAATCAGATATAGTCAGCAGTGCTGTACTGTGCATTATTAATGGATTGACTGTCACACTTATAACGCACACACAGCTTAAAGTGTAAGGAATCTTTCGTAGCTTTGCACCGATTCGACCCTTTCTCGCCAGATCCAAAATCCAGAGCTCTACCACAGGGCCATCCTATGCTGTCGGACGTTCTTACCACAATCATTTATACATCTGACTACTTGATCTGACTACTTCGAAGTTTTTTTTTCCTTTTCTTTTTTTTTTTTTCGTTCGTGAAATTTCAAATATTCGATTACTATTAACAGTTTATTGATAAATTCCAAAAGACAATGTCTAATAATAATCAGGCTAGAGATAGACGCATTCAACCGATTAATAAACCATTTTTTAATTCCATCAAATAAAATAGATGTAGCGGGTTAAAAATATTAGCTCTGTTTGGCTACCTCTTCCTTAAGTCATTTAGTATAATTAAGATAGTCTTTGATATACTTGTCATCATCCGTGTGCTATTGACGGGAAGGTACTACATCTTTTGTGATTGATATAAGATATATGAGGCCCCTGTATCAGCTCATTGTTAAGTACATCGACGCATTAAACCATTATAATATCAATATGACAGTAATGTTATAAAATTTATATTTTACTCCTACTTATAGATTTGATTTTCTATGCAAAACTGGAATAGATCGCTGACGCTTAACTTATGCACGTTGGGTTATTGCAACATTTCAGTTTCCCAAGTAGCATTATTTTGCAGAAATTTACGAGTCTTCCGGGATCATTTCAGAAAATTCGCCGAATTAATTTTGGGTGACAAAAACGGATTGCATTTCTGTTCTAGAATTATTAGTTAGTTAGCCGAAGTTGTGACAATTAAAAATCACAAAGAACGAAATATTTTGGTCACAACGTGGAAAATAAAAATGTCTGCACTTTTTTTACAGCTAACTTGTAGTGGTCGTGTACAGAAAATATGGATTGATAAATATGCTTCTAATTTTTCAAACGTAACTCAAGAACAACATGATCATTTAATGCGTTTTCATGTGATAAAAATGACTCTGGGACCTTCTCTAGGCCAAACTTTAGTAACAGGGAACAAGTTGAGCGAAACAATTGGGAGACACAGATCATGCGTGACAACTGGTAAAATTCGAATTGTAAGTACAATCAACTTAAAGGCCGTTTTTTTTTAAAGCTTATATTATAATTCATAAGTTTCAGTTTCTAAGTTTATTATTTTTGTAATTATTTTTATTACTTAGTCATCTTAAGTAAGAACAGGTTGTGTAGGTATATAATGATATTTATTTTAATATATTTTTACACAGATGGTGACGTTTTAAGTGACCAACAACCTTCTATTTTGGTTCTTTCTTACGCCCGTTACTGTCGCTACCGAGCTATGCTAATACGATTGAGTGGCTTGAATGACCAGTGTTTTAAAAACTTACTTGTTGTGGCCTTAGGAGGCATCACCTTGCCTAATCAGAAAACAAGAGTTCTCTTTTGTCGGGACACATTTGATCATGACGCTCTGGCAAACAACGACTCTAACTGCGATCATTTAGGTAAGTCAAACTTGCTTCCCTTTTCAACCACATATATTGTGTTTGTTTGAAACATGGAATGCATGAAAGTTGAAACAGTATATTGATGATATTAAACAGAAAAAACAACAACAACAACTAATCCTTACGAAGATTGTTGATCTTGAGACGTAAATTGAAGGCCTAATATATATTTTAAACGTATTCAGTATGATACATTTGCTGTATTGATGATTCTGATTACACATAAATAAAGCAGCACAAACACGCCATTGAACACCTTTTGTGTACCGAGTTAGACTATAAACTAGACAAAGAGTGTTTTTGTTCTGTAAATTTTATCGTACTTAGACAAACTTGAAAGATGCTCCATACAGCAGTATTCACATGTTCCTCACTTCTTACACTCATGTGTATTTCCACCGTTCTTTGTGACTTTCCTGGCAACACGAAGCTGTAATCAGGATAGAGAAATTGTTTGTATTAATATAATCTGATGAAAGATCCCTAATGTAGTCACGGTACTTAGCTTATCACCAACATCTTCCTGTAAGGTTCAGCTTTTGACCAGAAAAGTACCATATTTAAATTAAATTCCGTGTGTCTTAGATTTTCGTTGTTGTTAAGCTAAACATTTACTCCTGACGATTGATCTTTCAATTGAAACATAGAATATTTCAAGGACAATATGTATATGATCTGTGTTTGGTGATTTTTTATTTAACGGCTGTACAAAAAAAAAAAAAAAAAAAAA